TTCTAAGGCTTCTGTAAAAGCACAACATAAACTTGTCATTTCTATCCATTGGAAATATATTTCTATTGACAAATTGTAAAACATTTTCATATACATTTGAACTACTTTGACATATTATATGTAAAGAATACACAAAATGTTCTTAATTCCTTCTGTCAATATCAATCAATATAAATTTTATTAAGCTGTTAAATATTTTATTGAATTATAATATATATTATATGTCAACATTTATTAAATGATTAAAAAATATGTTTTTAATTGAATAATAAGACACATAATAAAAGAAACTAAGAAATGAAGCCTTATTCTGTATTATAACAGACGCTTCTAACGGATACTAACTCAATTATATCTTGACATTTAACTTTATACATACAGTTACATACTAAGAAACATATACGTGCATATAGATTATCAATGAAACAACCACTCACCCGCCTGGGGCTCATTTCCCGCATTTGGCTGAGTCTCTGCACCTGCGACAGAAATGCAAACTCATTAGTTCCTAAATTTATGGTTGCATAGAATTCAAACAACCAACCTTCAGTCATGTTGCTAACTCTTGCTTCCTCCTTTAGCAGCATTTAGATGCTAGATACCATTATGGTGCAATTACATCTACAACAATTAAACCACTTATGAACATCGTCATGAGAATTTGATGTCACAAAGCAGAGAATATTGACATTACAAAATACTGCACGGAAATCAGTCCATCTATTCCCTTTAATTCCCTAAAAATAGAACAAAAAGAGACCAATTTCGTGCTATTCTCGTCATTGAATTGCCAATATTTTCCACGTAAACAGAACTTGTCTTATCTAACGGATAACCGTGTACGTGCGCGTACGTGTGCGAGCTTAGTCGGCTTAGTTAATCAAATAAACTGAACGGTGGAAATCTCTAATTGGAGTAGCGGTTTGTAGACCGTGTAACGTGACGTTCGGATGCGAGTGTCAGATCGGAGAGGCAACGCGCCGCGTAAACTGTATCTAGGATAATTACGCGGGTCGACCGATCCAATTAATGCGCCAGCGATGAAGACACGGAGCCGTCGGTACCCGGGTGTCGACGGCACACATCGAGCGATCGCGAAGATCGAGGAGGGATGCTCACTCACTTGGTCGAACGAACGTCACCGGACGTCTCGCGCCGATCTCGCCGACCACGACGAAGACGGAGATCCGTCGTGAAGGACACGGGTCAGCGCATCGCTCGGATATTCCTGGATATTCCGGTTCGATCCCGGCGCGTATCTCTCCTTCGTATCAATTCCACTCCTCTCGTCCTCCCACGGAGTTTACACGGTCTGACGGACGACGGTCTCCCTCTCTCTCACTCTCACTCTCTCTCTTTCTCTTTTTTTCCTTATCTCCTCGTTCGCTGACCGCTCGTCTATTAGCGCGCTACCACTAGATAGCGTTGAGTCCACCTCGCACGTTTCTAAACGCCGTCGAACGCTTTGTACCAACGGAGCTTCTCGCGCCTCGACGATTTGAATAGTCGGGGAAGCAGATGACTATATGCCGCTAGATTAGATAATTGACGGAGTTGTTTGAAATATGAGCGACGTACTCTTTTACCCTGCGAAAATTCTTGGCATTGAAATTAATGCAATTATAAAAATTAATAGCATTTGTCATGAGTATTTAAATTGCGATGTAGTACCTGAAAGTCGTTTCGCTAAAGATATATACGTTCCTGCGTAGATCTCTCACGTGTATATACCTACGAAAGATATATAGCAATTACTTTTACAGTCGCTCGTAAAATTTATTCTATTATTGTAATAAATAATCTGCTGCAAGTATGATAAATCCGGTATAAGAGTCCGCCACTAAAAACGGTACCAAACGCCTGGCACGTCACGCTTATTTCTGCACGGATTTATTTTTATATTGGATGCACACGGATAAGCCCGAAGAGCGCTGTTTCCTCGAGATGCGATTTCTCTCTGTTAGTTGCATCTGACTACACATACGAGAAATGAGTAAATATCCGCACGTGCCACACGGTGAACAGAAAGCTCGTCGTAAAGTCCTCTCCGTGTCCGTAATCGGTGTACGAAATATTCCTAACATTACATAAAGGACGTACCGTTGCATTTGTGTATTAATTCTATTTAGATATCGTGTAGATATACATTCCGATTTATCAGGGACAGCCAACAAAGTCGATCGTAACCGACCGGTCTATGCGCCACGACAATCCGTGAATCAATCTTTATACAAATCCGGCGTGATCGTAATATCCGTATCTTAACAATTGCGCACA